TCAATACTGCAAGGTGTTCTCCAATCCTGCCGCCACTTCTGCTTGATAGTGATGGCTGAATGACGACTGCTCATGATTCCACTTGTTTCATATTCAGTGTTTCAAATGTTCACAAATGGGGCACTTGCAATTTTTGCGATCGCGCAAATCGCGTGAATCGCGCAAATCGCGAAAATCAGCGAAACCTGCGACGGATCGCGGACTCTGACACCAGCCTTACAACCAGGATTCCCACTAAGGGTCGGGTCATTCATCGCAATTAGGTGAACAGTTTTAGTATGGAGTAGACACGTATCGATTGTGCGATCGCACGATGCAGCGATTAATATGTGTTTACCCCGCACTCTAACTGCGAGTATGAACAGACCCTGAGGTGTCAAAAGGACTACCTTCGGTCCTAATTTTCAACAGATCTTCATTCTCAACAAACTTTCAAAAAAAAAAAAAACTGGCGAGCTTTGTGATCAAAATTAAAACATCATGAGATCATGGTACAAAGCATCACGAAGACCTATTATTATTATTAGAAAAGTAGGAGAATAAGCTCAGGGAACTTAAACTGCCACATGGGTTTCTGCGCAATTAGGCTTGCTTGAAATACCCATTCACTTTTAAATTCGAGAAATAAACTCACTTTTGGAGCCATTCTGTAGAATATAAATACAATAATGAGTAAAGAAGCTAATAAACCGAATGAACAACCGCTTCCGTAGTAGAATATAGCATTCCGTACAAGACGATTAGCGAAGAGAAAAAGGAGCACACCGGCAACAAAAATACCCAGACGAATATAATTTACATCTGAAATAAAAAAGCCACAGATCATGTAAGTTTTCGAAACAATTCGGATTGAAAAAAAAACCAAGAAATCAATCAGAGGTAAGCCTTCGAACTCACTCATAACTTTGGCTTGCACACTATATGGCAAACGAGTAGAGATCCCGATTACGGTGTCGTTAAAGACGTTAAGATGATGACTTTTCCAGAGGTTGACTCCTTTAAGTAGTCCAAATATGCGATTATCTTGTTGAAAGGCCTCTTCCACGACGCTACAGTTATCACCCTGAACGACATCACTAGTATCCAAAATTTTATGTTTAATTAATTGTTTAATTAACGTGTGTAATTTCATGATTACAAATTTCTAATGAATAATTTTACTTCGCGTAAGCAAAAGTTGCCATTGCTGAAAGCTGGCTTCTAACGTGGCAAGGCATGTAAAATGGTAAATAACAACGCACCTTATAAAGGTCATAGGTATCTTCATCTGTTAAATTCAACTGTAAGAATATATCAGTGAATGCTCTTGTTGGAGTGTATTCTAAACCTCTATGGATATATAAATCGAGATCGTTTCTGACTTGGCCGGCACGAGCCATCGTGAGCTTTCGAGTTCTGAAAAAAGGACACTTAAAAATCTAACCGACTGGGTAAATTGCCGATAGCACCATGAATGCTGGGTGAATCCACCGAAAAAAGCTAATCAAACAGTCTTTCATTTTAGACAGCTGGGCGCAATGTGTAGCTTGGGGGGGGGCAGTCGCCGCGCGCGGCTCAGCGATGTAGTGTAACTCGAACATTCCAGCTTCTCACGGAACATTTCCAGCTTCTCACGCATGCTAAGTGACTGCCCTCACCCCCCACCCCCCTGAATTGGCTACATTCCCCTGGCTCACGAATTTCCTGTTGCCGCAACGCGCCGGCGCGCGTGCGCCCCCCCTCCCCGCCCGAGCCACATTGCGCCGACAGTTCTTTCAGTGAAAAACCTAAATGTGTACTTAAATGCATGGGTATTGCCAAAGTGGTCAAATGTTGAATTAGCAGTTCAAGCTTACGAGCGATCTGGTGATCGCTAAGCTATATTCCACACAGTAGGATACCTCTGGAATCCTAAATCTTGTCATAGCTGGTCGTGCGTAGCCTGCAATCCGCGGGTGACAATTGGTCGGGATCTTACCCTCTGGCTGCTTAGGCGGGAGAAGCGCAGGCGGAAGCAGCGATTTGAAGGACCTAGTGCAAGTAGTCCTTTAGGGCGCATTCATAGTCGGTCGTCCGATCGTAACGATCGTAACGATCGCACTTCGGTTGATGCGTATCGATTGTCCAATCTTTGGACACGTCTGACGATCGATATGCATTCAATCCTGTGCAATCTTCACGATCGGACGACCGGTGTGAAACCCCCTTAGCGCTTCAACCGTTCTGAATGGAATCGAGCGGAATGGGTGGCGCACCATAAGGGGAATCAATCACCGCCTAGTAAAATTATGAATAAGCTTTCTCTATGCATCATATGTCTTCAGGATTCCGGATTCCAAGTGAAATGCATGAATTCCTCGAAAGAATTCTTGTCCAGCCTATCGGCGCTTTCATAGTCGGTCGTCGATCATAACGGTCGCACCACATTATGTATTTACCGATTCTCGTTGTGAAAGCGCCTTATCAGGCAATCGGTCGGGTCAAAACGAGTGTATTGGTAGGAAAGTGCAGCTATCTTCTCCAAAGATATGCATTTGGTAATAGCCCTAAGTCCCTGTGCGTAGGCTTAGCTTCATGAACTTCTCCAAATGGCAAAACGTTGTTAGGGCCATTCAAAAGGTCTCATGAAATAGGCGCTAATGTCTTGGGGGAGGGGGGCATACAAGGACTGAAACTCATAGGCCGATGTCAGACCTTGCGAATCCAGCGATTCGCCAGCAAATCGCAGGATACGACCTGTTTACCTGCGATCGAACGATGTACCAGCGAGTCGACACTGTTTTGAAGTGGCGGGACTTCCTTTGAACGTTGGCTCTCGCCATTTTGGGCTCACGAGGGCATGAGAGAGTGAGAGGGTATAAGAGCTCGGGAAAGTGGCAAGAATCAACATGCAAACGAGAGGAAGTCCCGCCACTTTCAAACAGTGTTGAGTCGCTGGTACATCGTTCGATCCACTGGCACATGGTTCGATCGCTGGTACACAGCTGGTGCAACGCCCGGATCATGCGATTCGCCAAGGCTGGTGTCAGAGTCCGCGATCCGTCGCAGGTTTCGCGCGATTCGCGCGACGGGTCACGGAAATCACAAGTGCCCGATCAATACTGCAAGGTGTTCTCCAATCCTGCCGCCACTTCTGCTTGATAGTGATGGCTGAATGACGACTGCCTCATGATTCCACT